AGCTTCTTCATCCTTCAGTCCCACATATATTCTTGCAACACGACCACAGTAGTTCTTGTCCTCTGGGTAGAGGTCATGTAGTTCTTTTGTCGCAATGCACAGATGTGTCCCACCAAGAACTTAATATTCATATTAATTAAGTTTACTGTTGTCAATTGTTTCCTTCTTTTCTATATCTTTCACCAAGACAAACAACGGTTCGTAGTTGCCATCCGGTTTATCTCTCAAATTTTTGACTAACTGAGAAATGAAGCTCTCATCAACTTCTCGGATTTTCCTCTCTTTTGGAGGAACAGCTATCTTCTCAATAGGGATAAACTTAGGTCTTCCTAAAAATAAACAGAATACATATAGCAATACACATTTTTTTTGCAAAACATCTTACTGTGCAACTATGTGAAGTTACATGAAGTCACCAAGACCAAAATTTGGAAAACAGAAAGTTAGTTGAAAACAGAGTACAGTGTAAAAATAAGCATCAGTCTTTTATCTGCTGGTGAGTGTTTGTCAATGAATACTGGTTTACTGAATATGGACACTGGGTCAAGTTTGATCTGGGTGGCCAGTTGTTGTAGTCACACAGAATAATATTTATCATTATAACAATTTTTAACAATAACAATAGTCTTTAAAATCTCATTCTAAGCAGGTATAGATTTTCACATGTTCAATTCAATTCAATTTTTATTTTACACACATATATACTTATTTTACAAGGAATATTATTAATGTATTAAAAATAATTATGGGGAATTACATGTTTGTTATTGGAGAAAGTGTGCAGTGGCTAAAGGAGCTTAGCTTTCGAGTTAGGCACTGCCTATTGAAAGCGAGCTTAGGGCTCTTATTAAATATAAATATAAATATACTAAAGAAAATAGAGAGGGTTTTACTTAAGAGTGGATGTCAGCAAACACCAGACATACAGTGACAAGTGTAAAAAATTAGATTTCGCTCAAACTTTCATATTTGGTACCTTATTATGTCTGATGAATCACTGTGGTGTTTTTATTAAAAAATATTTTTTCGTTTGCGAGATACGATTTTTTTGAGAGAGAGGTCAAATATGCAAATTTTTGTTGTTTACAAAGAGTGATTTGCGTGACCTCCTATAGCGAAACTACTTGACCTTTAGCGATTATACTTACACGTTGTGTTTATCATTTTCTCAACCGTTCTCTGGCTGAAAATAAAGTCCTAAAAAGAAACTAGTGATTTTTGACAATTTTTTAAATTATGCACACTTTTGATAACGTAAAAAGTACTCCTATTTCACACGTATTTTTCGTTATGACCGATATGGAGAAAACCCACAGGATTTCGTCCAGAGTAAGACCTTAGATTGGTCATCAAACGTATGCAAGAAAATCGATGTGTAAATGTTTTGTTTCTTCAAGCGAAGTACTCAAAGTTAGGAAAAATTTGCATATTTGCGAAATTGAAATCTACAAGTTGATTTCATATACGGCAGTAACGACTGAAAAACTCCNCGCTTTTTCGGCGAACAAGCCATCATGGAGTGTGAATTTCGTAAATGCGATATGCGGGCTTTTCCATGCACACATTCGAAGACCATGTGGCACGTTCGAACCTGTGAATGGTTGAAGAAAAACAAAGACTGAATTAATTTCGTAGACATGACCTCCCTGGCACGTTGGATTTTTGCATGCTTTTGTACAGTACTTTCTCCGCCACAGTGGCAAAATGGCGGTTTTGACACGGGTTTTACTTGCCTCAGGAGAGCTCATGG